CATTATCTTGACTTAGAAGCAAGTGCCTATACTTAGTGTAACAAACTGGTGTGATGTGTCCTACTTTATTACAATAATGACACCTAACACTAGGGTTGTTCATGTTTCTAGGACGTGTGATGTGCTTTCTAGGTTGTCTATCAAACTTAGAATTCCTAGAATGACTTAGTTTATTTCTAGGTGATCTATAGTATTTAATTTTAGAGGTAGATTTTAGTCTAAATTCATTTTCAACTTTCTTCATAGCTAATTTCAAATCGTCTACCTCTTTCTTAAACGCTTCTATCTCAAGACTAGAAGACATACATGAAGAACAAGGTGAATCATTTAATTTCAAATTAGTCTCTTCAAACGTCTTATTTTCAATTTTGAGGGAATTAATTTCTTTTTGCAAAATATTATTTTTCTTTTGCAAAAGGGTGATTTTATATTCCAAATCTTTGGCAATAGATGAGACTTTCTTAAATTCTTTAAATAAATCACCAAATGCTTCTTGTAGTTCTTCAAAACTAAAAGGATCGTTAGAAGAACTTACCTCTTTGGATTCACTTTGAGCCATAAGACAAATGGCTACTTCATCATCGGATGAGGAAGAGGAGCTAGAGTTGGATTGCTTTCGGCGTTTGGACTTCTTGAATTTTCGTTTAGGGCAATGACCCTTCATATGTCCATGCTCTCCACATCCATAGCAAGTAGGCTTTGTACTCTCATTCAATTGCTCAAGCTCATTTTGCAAGAAATCATTAAATAACTCGAGAATGCCACTTTCTCTAGAGCCGCTTGTCTCGACATATTTTGACGATGAAGCTTTGAGTGCAACTCCTTTGAATGATAATTTTGTTCCCTTTTGATCTCCGCTGCACTAGAAAAGTTAGACATTTCATAAGTGAGTAGTTTACCTCGAAGTGCGTCATATGTCAATGTATTGTAATCTCGGCCTTCTTTGATAGGGTTGACCGTAGACTTCCATTCCGGTGTGAGACTTCGAAGGATTTTTCGAACGAGAACATGATCCTCATAATGCTTCCTAAGTGTATCCAAACTTGAGACGATAGTTGAAAATCTCTCGAACATGCCATCTATTGTTTCATTTTCCATCATCATGAAAAGCTCATACTCATGGGTGAGTAAGTCGATCAAACTCAGGAAGTGAACTGAACAAGGAAGTATACACTGGAGATTAAACAAGGTGTAGAGTAACCGGCAGAACGTGGAACTCTAAAAGGCTATCAGTAGGCCCAACACGGCACAATATAGAAAGTTGATGGCCCTTGCATTTAGTTGCATCTTCTTCTTGTCATTTGAGGTATATTCGGTCTCTAACTTTGGAACAAGAATCCCGTCAACAATCTTCGTGGGAACCGTCTCTCCATGCTTGATCACAAGCCAAGAATCATAACCATTTGATTGGATGAATATTCTCATCCTCTCTTTCCAATAAGCATAATTTGTGCCGTCGAAGAGTGGTGGCCTTGTCGTGGATTGTCCTTCGGCAACTCCGGGTTGAAATGTTCTTCCGGCCATGATCTTTTTAAATTTTCAGCGGTAAAGCTTTGAAAATCCCTCGCTCTGATACCACTTGTTAGACGCCTCGCACACCTCTAGAGGGGGGGTGAATAGAGGTGTTGCCCAAAAGACCAGTTTTTTGCGCGAAAACGTTCTTCACGAATATTCAATAAAAACAATGCACCACAAACAAAATAAAGTGAAGGATAAGAGCAATGCACACACGATATATACTGGTTCGGCCTAAATGCCTACATCCAGTCCCCGAAGCAATCGTGCCCATGCCTTCACTAACCTGTCAAGCTTAACGGAGTTTGACAATCCGAATACAACTCGAGAACTTGATTTCACAAGCCTTTTATCTTACCATCAAAGTTTTGATTTCACAAAACTCAGGATTTCTTCCACCTAATGTTTGATTTCACAAACCGTTAGGATTTCTATCACTTGGTGTAATCCCAACACCAAGAATACAAATCCCTTACAATAAAGTAAGAAAACAAACCGCAACCAAGTAATTCTTCCAACACGGAGTAGATTGTTGCCAATACAATGAAGCCCTTTAGAATATGGCAATATCTCTCAAAGACTCAAACAATGAGGAAAAACTCAAGCAAGAAATGATTTAGCAATCAAAAGAATTGCCTTGCTTGGATATAAGGAGGGGATTGAGTAGAATCTCTTTGGATATTCAAAGGATATGTTCTTCAAAGTGTTCTAAGTGTTCTTATGAAGATAATCTCGAAAGTAGATAGTTTATAGAAGTTAGGGAGTGGATAGGGATGAAAAGCATTCAAAAAACTAGCCGTTTGGTAGTTGAAACTGTCGACTTATTCGAATAATTCAAGAACTATTCGAATAGTTTGGATCAATCGCGTGGCTTGAAAAACCAGTTCCTATTCGAATAAATGGTGATTTATTCGAATAAATCAGGGTGTAAAGCCAGGACTTTTTTGAATAAATGGTGATTTATTCGAATTAAACAGGTTAATTTCAGTCACAGGAAAGATCACGACTTATTCGAATAAACTAAAGATTATTTTAATAGAAAGGCAACTTCCCCACACAAAGGCTGATCTAAAATGAGTTTAAAGGTAAGATGATAAGGGAATGAACCTTAGAGATGCCATACTCTTTAACACATAATCTAAGACCTAAAACACTACCCAACTAAGGAAACAACCTCTTCGGTCTCGTTCCTTCCACCGATGCTCAAGTCCCTTCTTCACGGACGGATTGAACTTGTTGTAGCTTTGATTCTTAGCCTTGATGCACAATATGATGATGATGTTTAATTTTGTCACCCTTTTGTCATTATCAAAACCTAAAAGACAATGGGCAAAGGACATTGCAAAAATATATATTCATGATAGCACATTGTCCAACAAGAAGAGCTCAAAAGGATTGATAGTACTACTCATACCAACAACGTGCATCTTCTTTTCGAGAGCTCATCACCTAGAAACTCCAAAGTTAAGCGTGCTTGACCTGGAGAAATTCTAGGATAGGTGACCCCCTGGGAACTTTTCTTGGGCGCGCACGAGTGAGGACAAAGTGCGCGGGAAAGACTTGTGTTGGTTTGTGGGGCAAGTCTACAATCCTATGAGCAGACACTTACGGCTAGGGTGGGGGCCGGGGTGTTACAAGATCTGTTGGCAATTCAACATGAAAATCGACACAAGTGGGATTATTTGGAATGGCTTGATAACAAAGGGAAACAAAAACTCATTAAATGAATTATCACGGCTATGAAAGAAATGATGAGACTCAAGGTCTTAGACATGCCACCCTTTTCTACTTCTAGGATAACCAAACAAATATATAGTTGATATTGTGAGGGTGAAATTTATTTTGTGAATGCTAAATATCTCAAACATTACACAAATATCCAAAGACACGTAGATGAGATAAATCAAGTGTAAGGGTATTTGTGTCTTTTGATAAGTGTAAGGGTATTTGTGTCTTTTGATAAGGGAAAACTTACTTTTTTTAGAAAGTGAGAAATTAATTTTAAGACGACCCGAAAAAGAAAGTGACAAGTTAATTTTAGGACAGAGGGAGTACATGACAGTTATTTGGATGAATAAGATATCCAACAGATGTAAGATTGCACTTTAAATTCAGAACGAACAGCACATTTCACAAAAATAGTTTTGGAGACAAACTAATGCTTCCACATAAATTAGCTACAACATGAGCACCATGTGGCAAACTAATTGTAACAAGTGTCATATATTCAATATCAGATAATTTAATAATCATGAACGCCGGTCATATGATGAGAAGCACCAATAAGCCAATAACAAGAACCAATCAGAAGGAAATGTTCAAATGGAATTAGATTAGCAGTATCACCTTTTGGCACAATTCAGCAAATTGAAATTGACAATGTCACTACTCACTGCGATCGCAACTATTGGTTGCACAAAACGAGTCGACGAAGGTAGATAGATATTGTGCAGCAATAGGTGATGCTCGACGTAACAAATGACTAGCAAAGCAGGCTATAATTTGCAACAGGATCAGAGCAACATGCAATAATCGAACAAGGAGAAAAGCAAAAGATTTTAACGGCTACCTGAGCTGCATATCAGTGAGAGAAGCCAGAGATATTAGGGATCTGGCTCCAATACAATGTAGAAACTTGGCATAAATTGTTATGCATAATTCGGTATATGTAAAAGTATAAAGATGAGCTCAGTACCAAGCCTAAGACATGCTATTCAGCCCCAAAATACATACTAAACCTATTTACTAGAAATAGTCGCTAAAATGATGAAATTTAGAATGTGGTAGAGATCATTGGAATAAGCCGAAAGATACTTAGGTTGAACCACATTAAAAGATTAAATCCAATCGATTACTTAGTTCAAAATCCAAAGCCTATATACCAATTACTTATGAAGAGTGCCTACAGTTAAAGGATCACAAATTGCTGGGTATGAACATTCCAAACAAAAAATTGGGTCAAACGAGCCACGGTCGATATTCCGTACAGATAACTATGCTAAAGATTAATGGGAAACTATAAATGAATTTCTAGACGAACACCTTTACAAATGAGGTGGGCTAAAATTGGCTTTGATACCATGATAGAATTTAGATGGGGTAGAGATTATTGGAATGAGTCATAAGACCCTTGATTTGAGTCATATTAAAAGATCGAATCAATTCAATTACTTAATTCAACTCAAGAGCTTATATACTGATTATTTGGCTCAAATTGAGAATTAAGCTAAGTAGCATCTTGTACTGATTACTTTTTAACACAAAAGTACTCCTAGCTTATACACTTGGCTCCAACTTTTTCTTGATTTTTGAGTTTTAACACAATAGTTATCTAATAGTAGCATCATGTAACACGATTTTTTACTTTTGATTTACAACTACTGCAAAAAATTGAAAAACTTTTTCGTGATGAAAGACGTAATCGACCCTTTGTTTTGTTTGGCTTATTAAACGACATAATGCTTGGTGATAAATATTTTGAGCAGCATATTCCAGCCAACTTCATGAGATGGACAAGAATTGAAAGCAAATGTGGGGTAGTGAAGGATACAGCCGGAAGGGAATGGCCGATGATGATCCGTGGTGAGACGAGCAATTGGTTTGGAACGGGGTGGGGTGCCTTTAAAACTCAAAATAACCTTCACTTAGGGGACACTTGCACCTTCACCTACAACTTCAATGAGAACGAACTTAACAGTAGCCACGGCTGGGTGCTCGGATTTGCAGTGAAGAAACAACGTCATTAGTGTAGGAGTTCAGGCTCCTTTATTAGAGTAAAAAAAGCACTACCTTATTAGGCATGTGGCTTCTAGTCCATTATTATTTTCAGTATGTGCTGTTTGATGACCTGTTGTGCTTTTCATTTGCCTCTTTGTGTCATGTTTTAGGGTATTGAGGATTTCGCTCATTTGGGTTAAATGTAGCTTTTGGCTAATTTTGATCCTCAAGATTAGCTGAAATAATTGTTTTTTATTCTATTGTTGATTTTTGGGATTTAACAATTAGTTATTTTTGAAAATTAGCTTTCCGTGACTCCGTGAGTGTATAACACCAATTGAGTCTTGTTAATAGTAGCCACGGCTGGCTGCTCGGTAAGCTAAGGTGTTAACACTCGACATTAGGCCACTAGTTATTGTACAGTATTATGATGATTATTGTTTATTATGGTTTAATGATGAATATACCATAAGTAAATGATGTTGATAATGATTCTTAATTAAATATTGATTATGATTATTAAAATGATGCCTGGTGTGATAATGATCATATAATGATGACGATCTTATCCTGAAAAAATATCAAAATATTATTATGAATAAATAAACCTTAAGAATAATTGTGATTGAATATGTTTGTAAGAATATCTTGATTAAATGATGATTGTGAATGAATACGGGTATCTAGAAGAATTCTAAGATATAACCATATGACCAATTTAGTTAGGCCTTGCGAGTATGATGTTCACTGGTGAGGGTTTAAACGTACGTACAAGATCCATAAAACAAATTTGATTATTCATTCGTTTGGGGTACCACCCAACCCAACAGTGAGTAGTCTGCTGTTTGGTTTTCCAGCTTTAAACTAAATATAGTTTAAGAGTCTGGGTATTATTTGCGTTAAATTGATTATAAGTTTAAGAGTTTGGTTATTACTTGCCTTAAACTAGTTATAATTTAAGAGTCTGGTTAACTAAACAAAATAGCCTTAAACTAACTACAGCTCAAGAGTCTAGTTAATAAAATGAAATAACTTTAAACTATCCATAGTTTAAGAGTTCGGTTATGAAAATATGAATTTAGCCTTAGACTAGGAATAATTTAAGACCGTTGTTATGATTTGACATTAGACTAAGAATAGTTTAAGAGCATTATTGATATAATGAATATTGAATATTTCAATTGAATAGCATGTGTTTGATATCAAATGACCTTATATAAATTCATATTGAATATTTGAATAAAATATTATGTGCATGATATCAAATGATTTGATTATGAATTGAGATTCAATTTATGTGGATGTTTGATGCATTAGATATCTTTACTCAGCTTCACCGCTAAGCGTGTAGTGTGTTTTATTTGCTACACACAGGCTGACAAAAAGAATGATAACCCTGGTAGCAGACGAGGGCGAGATTGTCGGGATCAATGTTATGGTTTTAAACTATTATTTCAAAAGACATGAATTAATTATATTTTGTGATTGTGATTTGTTAAGCTTTCACAACTTTGAAAACTCCTATTATTTTTATGGTAAATAAAAGTGTTTGAAATATTTTAAATTTTTACGATTACCAAGTTAATACTTAGATCCGATAGAGGATGTAGACTTGGACGGATAAGTGTGTTACAAAGTACTCAAGCTACAACTTTTAATTTATGACCATTTTAAAATTGTCAAAAAAATGAAATGTAAATTAAAGATGAACTGGTTCGACATTTAATTTACGAATAAATCATAAAAATAAACGAATAGAAGATTGATAAGATAAATCGTAGCTTCTTTTGAAATGTAATTTCTAGACTTTATTTTTTTATTACTCTCTCCGTCTTTAAACTTTCTTCTCAGTTCGATTTACAAGATTTTGTTTGAAATTGTTTTAAATTCAATCTATTTAATTATAAGTATAAAATTAAAAAATAAAAGTTATACATTTAAAGACCAAAAGTTCTATAAAATAAGAGGAGATATAACTATATTAATTTATGAAATAACTAATCAAAATATGTAAAGAAAGTGATTAAAGTTAGCCTATAAATAGTATATGAGAAGAAAGTTTTAGGACAGAGAAAGTATATTTTTTAGGTAATTTTTTAACCAGTTTAGTTTTTCTTTTTATGTAGTACCTTTTTATACTTCTCAAATTATCATAATTTTAAACTCATAATCCAAAACCTTTCATAAAATATATTGTTGGATCGGTATTAATGTCTTGATTTTTAAATCTCTAATAATCTCTTAGTACTAGTCTACTACTAGCATTTGAAACAAAACACTTGATGTAGTGTTTGTTTTCAATATTTGGATATTGCCTTATTTGTAAGTTGTTTTAAGATATTTTTATTAAATAGAATATGTTGTTTTCAATTTTTATTATTTGTTGCAAGTCTAGAAATCATTTTCCTCCCCAAAAATGAAATATAACAATTCAAATCCGTTTCGTTTTGTCATGATCACAAAACTTATGAGATAAAGTAAGATACTCTGAGTATGATTTTAATCTGAAACATTTCAAACTATTTATAAAGAGTAAAATAAGATGCTGGAATTTCTCATAAGTCAGACCCCACACCAAAAGGCGTCGTTAAATACACGATTCGTTCCCCTCCAGAAAGAAAAAGCGAGTTTGTGAGAGAATTTCTCATAATTCTTTCCGACGCAATGATCATCAGAGACAGACAGAATCTGAAGAAGCCATATCGATTTGCGCAACACGAAATCTAGCCTTCACACACCGATTCGGTTTCATCGCTTCTGGCAGCGAAGAGCTTGCGAGCAACGGGGAGAAATCGCAGTTTGATTTGATGAGTAGACAGGGAATGTGTTGAGGAAGACGATGTTCTTCAACGCCTTGATTCAGCGGAGACTCTCTGCTCTCTTGCGGCCATGGCTGGTGGACGAGCCGGAACTCGAAGTCAAGCTAGGGTTTCTTCGCTCTCACGGAATCGCCACAAACCTCCGCTTCAACGCTTCTGCTCTGAACCAGTTGCTCGACGATCCTTCTCGCGTGTGCTTCAGAGAAGTGGTCGTCGAACAGTTTGGCGTTCATGTGTCCAACTGGTCCGCCCCTGCTTTCAATTTCCGAATTCAAGGCCTTAGCGTTTCTCTAGCACTGGGGTATGTTCTCTCTGTCTTCTTGCTCTCTCTCTCTCTCTCTATGAGATGCAGTCTATTTTCAAGTGAATTTGGTGGTTATTATTGTGTTTGTACATTGAAGTGAGAATGAGGGAAGTGCTGAAATCAGGCCGAAACCACGAGACACGTCTATTGATCAGAAAAGGAAGCTCCTGGCAGAGCTTGACCCGCAGGTACAACCGGGATTTGTTAGTGTTGTGTCGGGTTAACTTTACCACAGGAACAACTAGTAACCGGTTCAAAACAAATAAACCCGACACAACACTAACAAATGTACCCAACAAATATTATTGAATACTATATTACGACTTAGACGACTACACCAAGCAGAACAAAAAACATCTAATGACACATTTTCCTTCTCGTGAAATAAACTAGTCTCCAAATGTTCAAATTCATTCGGAAGAGATTGATTACAACATCAATGCAAAATCTTCGTTCTACTAAATACTACGTAGTAATTGATTAAACATAGTGATGTGCTTATTCATAGTAGTACCTTGGTTGGTAATCAAATCTGAACAATCTTTTCTTCATAAGGAGTTTGTTCTGATCACTCCTTTTAGAAACTTGTCCTCCAATGTCTTCCACAATTTTGTGTATAGAAGTCTCGCTCTTGAAAGCATAGTTCTACTCTATGGTCATGCATGATCTAATTGTTCTGCATGCCAGCCTATCAATGATACTCAGTCTTTATCTTTAAATCTCTTTTCTTTTACTCAATACCAATATCAATACCCTGCTAGTGCTAGAAAAGAGAGTCCAAGACTCCCCCTTGCCACATGTCGGAATGGCCGTGAAATATTTCCACCGCCAATTTTAAACATGATAGCAAGAACCTCAGTCATTATGACGAGCTGATGTTCCTATGGTCATATTTGAAGGGAAAACTAGAAAACTAGGTAACTAGGACTGAAACATCTTTTATATCAAAATAGGACTTTTAATATTTTATAGTTTATACCGAAATAATACCTATATTGCCAAAGAATATCAATATATAATGCCAAAAAACACGTGTGCAATACGTACATACAATGCCAATATGTGACATTGCAGTATGCTAACGCTCCTATTTAGGGGATTAAAATTGAGGAGTCCCTATTGTAGTATAAGTTAATGTTTAAGTCCTAATTAGGTAAATGTCGTTATTTGAATCAATATCCTTTGTTTCTTGATCTTTAGTCGACAACCGTCATTACACACTCAACATTTAGTATTCAATATTACAACAATTACAAATAAACTAAGAACGAATGATACCACTTGTTAGGGGAAATTAGGTGATTTTCCAACCAAGATAGAACAACTAGTGAAATGAACCGGTTCAGAAGAAATGAAACAAATACAATTCATACAGCACTAACAAATATAAACTACAAATAATATCGAATACTATACTACAACTAAAAAAACAACATGACAACAATAAATAAAAAGAAATAAAAAAGAGATAAAGAGAGAAACATACCCAAAAACTTCGATAACAGAGCTCAGTTAAATAAGCTTAATCTCAACTCTCAAGCACTGCTCAATCAGCTTATGTTTTATTAATGTGGGAGAAGAGATACAAATTTTTAGGATGGATAGAATGGGAGGAGGAGTTCTTTTATAACTCTCAAACTCCCACACAGAAACAAACCCACGGTGTGAGATGGGAAAAGTAAGCAAGAATAAAAATGCCCACCATTGTGTGACTTTTGAATAAGCCACAAATGTCCGTAAAGCCAGCTATAATATCTCTGAGTTTTATGAATTTCAGGGTAGTTCTCTGCATTCTGCGATGGAAAGGATCACTGAAATTAGAGAATTTAAGTGGACAGATTCTCTGTTTGATTGCATATTTCAGCATTGTCAGTTTCAAGTGTGTGATGTTGAAGTCACATTGCTGCATTCTCATTCGAATGGTTTTGTTTCCTTATCATTTCTGATGAAGGAACTTGGCGTGGGATGTGAATCTGTCCGGTGTTGTTTCCTCAGTGGGGCCATCAGTTCATTTCTTTTGCCCTCTAGAGAAAGCTACATTGATATTGACATTGATAATTTTGAGATAACATTAAATACTGAACATCACGTGAGCAACATTGTGCCTTCAACAAACCTACATGCTTCCATTAAATCTAAAAATCATAGTTTTATTGAATTTGATTTTTCTGTTGAAGCATTGAAACTTTCTTTATCTCCCTTTCATGTTTCCGCAATACTTCTACTTTTCGTATTGTCTTCGAAAGAAGCCAAGTCTATTAGAAGTGGTAGGCAACTGTGGAAAATAGCAGCAGACAAAATTAAGTCCTTAACTTCAATGCGCAAGTTTTTATTGCATAAGGTTGTTTGCATAATATGTATCTGGATACAATATATACACACCTATGAGAAAATGCTTTTACTGGTTGGGTATCCATCAGAAGACGCAATAAGACAATCACTTGGTTTTATGGTTGGGGGCAAAACATCCTCCATAGCTTTTAAGCAGCATTGGAAGAAAATTTGCCAAATGGAAGATGACCTACCCAGTGAAGCCATTGCACTTGCTAGAAAAATAATACGCAATAGAGCTGCTTCAGGTGCCCAAAAGACAAGAGAATTTTGTCACGAGTCAAAAGTGAAGGCACTTCTTATGAAAATTTTCACACCACTCATCTTTTTTGGGAAGTACATTTGCTATGTATTTTGCTTCATTAAAAGTTTTCAATATAGTGCCGGTAAATGTTCAAACTCCAATGAAGATCTTGGACATGTTCCCAATGGTTCTTTTCTATGCCGCCACATTGTCCTAGATGTTGGAGAATTTTCAATTTTGATTTCCCCTGAAGATGAACTTCACCCTTCTGTTAGTGGGAAGATGCTCTCTGATATTGGGCTCGCATACCATGAGTTGCTTTCGTTTTCTGTTTTTATCGATGTACTTCACTTAAGATATTCTGAAAATATTACGCAACAATGTCTTGCCTTTGGCTGTCAATCCTTCAAGGTGGTTCCTTTATCTCTTATAGAAGGCAATTATAGAAAATCTGTGAAGTACTTGAATGGTGCTCAGAAAAAAAAAGCTCAAAGCTTATCCCCAGTATTATGGGGTGAGCCTGCAGAAATTGTACACCCTGTGGAAAATACTGCCTATCATGCTAATGGGTCTGGCATCCCTGGTCTCTCTTTTAAAGACTACATCATAGGAGAAATGCTCTTGAAGTGGAGAAAATGTTGCTCAAAAGTTGAAGCCAATAAAATCCAGGATTTTGTGAACCCATTTGCTCTTTGCGAGATAAACAATCTCTTGATTGATCAAACCATGCAGAATACTACATTAGGGTCTTTACGTTGCGGTATGGTGGTTGGAAGGCTGAATTTACTTATTGAAAATGCATCCGTAGTATCTATTGCTGTAATATCTACACAGATTAAGAATGCCCTTTCGTGGACTCGGTCTAATGTGGAAACAAGTACTGTGTTGCATGCTACATCACCCTCTAGTGGTCAATTGCCCTCAATTGACTGGAGGAATAACTACATATTACTTTCATCTCAAATGGCAGTAGTAGAACATGCATCAATTTTGCAAAAGCATATTCAAATGCGAATAAGAGTTGCTGGTCCACACATTCAGATTTCATTGATAAACATGGAGCATCACGATCAGTTAACAGGCCTGCTTCATGCATCTAGGAATGGTATGGCCCACCTTAGAATTGAAGCTGCCAACATGGAACTTTCCGTTTCGCCAAATCTGGAATCTGACTTCAGTTTCTCAAGTAAATCAATGTCAGTTGCGGATGCAAAAGCAAAGAGCATTAGGCTAATGGAGCTTCATCAGAGTGGCATTCCTAAGTTGAATGATGAAACCATGAGCTCCCAAACATGTATCTCAATTGACACACAGCTAAATTTTGATGGGGTGAAAGTGTATCTTGATATAACAAATAATCCTCGTAGCCAAGTCATCGTGTTAGCTCCTGTAACCTTCAGGCTAATATCTTCAAGGTACTATTTCAGCTATTCCTTACTACTATATTTTTCCAGCTTGTCTTCTGTCTTGAATATTTTACATCTCAAGATCTGATGCAAGAAATCTGTTAATCTGCATTTTTATAGTTATACTACAAGCTTAGTTTGCTTAAAATTTCACAACGAATCTTCTCACCTACATCATGTATGTTCTTATCTTTATATTGTTATCCTCTACCCGTAGGTTATGAAAAACTTTCAAACTTTCAGGAAGTGTTCCGGATCTTGTGACTTGTGTTAAGTCAAAATAAGCATGAAATTAATTAATAATAATAATATGTAACTCAAATAATAATAATATTTTAATAATAATACTGTAATAATAATAATTACTGTTATTATATCTACTACTACTACTACTACTCTGTGATAACAACATTACTCCGTAATAATAATAATAATAATAATAATAATAATAATAATAATAATAATAATAATAATAATAATAATAATAATAATAATCATCATCATCATCATCCATGATTCATCCATCCATCCATTCATCATTTATTAGTAATCAATCCCATTTTTAAGTGTCTGCCTTGTGCAATGAGGTTTGTGAATTTCCCCAAGTTAAATGGTGCAACTATGAGCTCCCAAACTTATCTCAACTCACACACTTAATATCTGATGGGGTGAAAGTTTATCTTAATATAACAAATAGTTCATGGATTCAAGTCAGTGTGTAAAGTCTTGCAAGGCTTAACCTTCAGGTTATAATCGTCAAGGTACTATTTCAGTATCCTTACAGCTAGTTTTTCTAGGCCTGTCCTCTGTCATGAATATTTTACTACCTGTCCCTAAATAAACTTCATAGTATGAATGTAGGCTGCGTTTCGTTCGCCTGATTTTTTGAAGATCTGATCTGGTCAGATTGCAGTTATAATTAAAGTTGTTTCTCATCTGGTCTTATCTGGTTTGATTTGATCTGATTATAATATGAATAAGTAATAAGCAGAACAAATAAGTTGAACAGAACGCTGCCGTAGTCTTCGACTCTTCATTCCCCACCTGTATTGTTGTTTACAAGTTGGAGAAAATCTTTCATTCCAAATACTTACAAATTTGAGCTAAATGTCCCTAGTGATAGAAGTTTCAACACATCCAAAAATTTCTCCAACTTGTAAACAACTAAGTATACTTTTTCCATAATTTATGGTCAAAGGGTGCCACAGTTTGACCAAAAAAGTCAAACTGTGGAAATCTTTCAGGGACAGAGGGAGTATAAGTTTTAAAGTCCTCCTAAATCCTAATAGAGAAAGAGACTTCAACTTTCACAAGTCTTTATCTCACTAATGCTTTCAAGCTCTCTTTTTTATACTAGAACTCAACCCAAATGGCCCTGTTTATTGGCTAGATGAAATGATTTTGGATAAAAGTAATTGTTCCATAGAAAGTGCAAGGAAAATTCTTCAATTTGGAGGATATGATAGTAAAATTAGTCCCTCGTCTCTTTAGTCTTTACACAGTGATGTTGACAATTACATAAATGGAGCATAGAAGTGATGCTTATTATTTTCTAAACAATGTTTGGAAATGACATGTCAGAAAATTTCTTTGCCTTTGTACTGACTATTACTTTACATTATGGCAGGAAGGATCTGCATTCATTCGGCTCAACAGTGATTGTTTGGTTTATTTCTTTAATCTGGGCAGCTAATGGGTTGGCTGTTGTCTTATTTTTGGATGAAATGAATGCTTTAGTAAAGGTGATTACTCACACTTCATTAAGTTGAACTTTAATTACATTGTGGTTCCTGTATTTGTCTATTTATACTCCATCTATGGTTGTTTTGTTCAATTCTTTTTTTCTATTTGTTCATTGATTCTTATGTTTTTTATGATTAATAAGTCAAACTTGTGCACCGAGTTGTAATCGCGGCTTTTACCATTTGCTATATATATATATATATATATATATATATATATATATATATATATATATATACTCCCTCTGTCCCAATTTATTTGCAACATTTCGAACGACGTGCAAAATATCATCTCTTTTAAAATTACTTTAATTTCAAATTGGTAGAGTAATAAAAAGTAAAAATTACACCATTCAAAAGTATATGAAAAACTCTACAAAACAAGATGCGACAAGAATATTTTATTTTATCAAATGGTCAACCAAAACGAGTAAACAAACAAAAGTTATCGATAGGCTAGAATAGTAAACGTGGCATTCTTTCTGGGAGGGAGGGAGTGTGTGTGTGTGTGTATATATATATATATATATATAGATTTTGGTTCTGGTGAGAATGCAATCTTAGAAGAGAAATAAGAATGAATCCGGTGCTTTAGATTGTGAGATCTAAGGGTCAGGATTGCATCAAAATTAGGTGCACCAAAATTGTTTGAAAATGCATCATGTCGGAACGCACCAAATTCTTTGAAAATGCACTATCTCAAAATCTGAGCGCAAGATGCAATCTGAGCCGCATGATGCATCAGATCCAACGGCTAGATTTTATTCTCATTTCTCTCCACAATCTCTCCACAAGGTGCATTACCACAGGAACCGGCCCCTATATATATATATATATATCTGTGTGTGTCGTCCAGTTTTGACTTTTGGAACTGTTCATCTAAGCACTTTGATTCATCAAATTCTCTCAATGTGTAAGCCTAAATATAGTCATGTGTGATCTTGTTTTTTTTGTGTGATCTTGTTTGATTTGTCTTAACATATAGATTATTAATATATGATTTCTATAATTTTTTAATATACAAATTACAAGATAAAATGGATTAAAGAAGTGTATTGGATGATGTGTAAAAATGAAAGTGGACAAGTACTCTGGGAAGTACTCTGGGACGGAGGTAGTGTGTGTGTGTGTGTATATATATATATATATAGTTTTGGTTTTATTGCAATTTTAGCCAATTCCAAATTTGCTCAGAACACAATCCAACAATAATTAGATAACCCAACCCCATTGGGGTCTGTGGGTCAAGATGACAAGATTTACACAACCTTACCCTGTAAAAAAACATTAAGGTTATTTCTGTTAGACCTTGATGCATGGCTTCATTTACTACCCAAAAACCTTGTAGAACGTATGAAGCAAAGTAAGTTTAATTTCATTTTGATTTAAATGAATATGAAAAATATTACTAAATATTCCAATCCTCATTAATCATCAAATATATTCTTAAATGAGGCACAAAAATTAAAAGAACCATAAAATACGTCCTTTTGCCTCATAGTTTTCCTTTTTGAATTAGAATGATATCTTTTGGAATTATAATTGTATAAAACAGGAAGGTTATGAAGTCAATTTTGACCAAAAAATTGAATGGCATCCCAAAAAATCTCCCCACTTTCATGTACACTTTTCAAGATTGTTATGCAGATTCCAACCTTATTCTCATTGTGACAGGCAGCATATGATTTGTCTCGTGCAGTGTTACATGTTCTCAATTTGCCCAGTTTAGCTACCAGCCTCATTCATCATAAAATTTCATTCCAAGATATGTCTTCAAATCCTGGAAATCATGGAGTAATGATGACTAGAAGTGCAGCTTTTTTTAGGGGTCTTATCATTATTGAGAATATCTGTGAGCTCAAGTCAGTTGAAATCATCCTTCACTACTCTAGGAAAGGATGTAATACAGATTCAGATGGGATGAATGCTCACATTGATACCAACCAGAAGTTGGACCGCAAAGCCTGGCTAGACTGTGGAATTCACATGTCTATTGAGCAGTTTGATTCACTGTTTTCATTTGAACCAGAAAAGGTGAATATTTGCATCAAATTATCTGGATTTCAATCTGATATTCTTGGACAAATAAAGGACACTGCTGAGGTTTCTGATCAATTTGAACTTAACAATCTTTTCCAATCATTGCATTGTTTATATGGAGCGTCATGTTCATATGGCAAATTTGAGATGTGCTGGAAAGCCATTCCACTCCCCAGTTTGATAAATTCAGCTGATGTTTATACATCTAGTAGTGTAACTTTGCTGTTGTCTGGAGATTCTCCCTTGATGGTAAAAGCTGATGACTACTCTTCTGATTGCTTACACATGAGCATTGTTTTTGATGAAGTTTATTTAGTTGGATGCCCAGTAAAAAAATTGCTGATTCAATCACACAAACCAAATAAACTTGAGGGATCTCTTCGTGTTGGTGGAGAACTTCGTAATATCTCTTGCGAGATTCAGGTGTCTGTTCTGCTCTTAATCTCTTACCACTAAGATTGTATGCAGTGTTTCAATCCTCTTGTGCTGCTTGCCTGCTCTTAATATTTTCGAATGATTTATTTTAATGTTTGGTAGGGAGGTTATATTGCTAGTGAAGCAACAGCACTCGTGATGGTTGTTCAATGTTTTGCACTTTATCATTTCCGGTTCAGAGAGCTTTGGCCTGCAGCAACATTGTTCGGGGAGAAACATGCTGAAAACGTTGAAGTGATTAAAAGTTTACCAAGTCAAGAATTGTGGCACCAGCAATTAATTAATTGGAACCAATTCAAGGCACTGAGTATTAACATTTCACAACTCTCTCTTGGGCTCATGGGCAAAGATGGATCTGGTAACATCTTTTCTTTCTTCTCTTTAGATGGGTAGTCAAATGTTTGAGAAGCCTTATCATCTTTGCAGGCGGGCTTCAGGAACTTCTGTTAGAGACGAGCTGTGAATTTAACCTCAAAGCACCAACAATATATTCATTTAGTATTTCAAAATTGTCAATTATTTCATGCTCCTTTGACATAACGACGGAACAAAGAATTAGGGGCACCAACATTCTCTCTCCCTTTGTAATGTTAAATGAGAGAGACAGTAGTTCTGTTATCTCTTCAAAGTACGAGCATAATATCCATTCATTTGATGATGCAAGTAGCTCAAGTTCTCATGTTCTTCAAAAGGAAATTATTGCTGATGATTCAGAAAAATCACATACGAATAATGCTGGATCACAAAACTTGCTTGCATCTTCTCAAAATTATGTTATGCGAGACCTATCAGCTTCTTTAGTAGTTGAACAACTTGTGTTGAGGAAGAGGAATGGTTCTCAGCAGTTGAACTATTTTTGGGTTGGCCGTGGCTCTCTTTTAGGCTTTGATATGACTATTTCTCTGCCTGAAATACAGGTGAGCAGCGTCATCAAGTGCTCTTGTTCTTTTGATATTTCAATATTTTATGGGTAAGTAAGCAATTCCAGGATGAAATAGCTGCCATTTGATTTCAACCGCAATAGCCTGTTTGTTTGCAAGGAAAATGGAGTATGAAAGCGATTTCCCTAGAAAGTCAGGGAAGGGAAAAGAAAACACACATACTGCAGTTTGGTTGCCAATAATTTTTTTCCTTTTGCTTGCTAGGAAAGTACAAGAAAATCTATTTTCAACCATGTTGGATAAATAAAATTGTATTAGGTAAGAAATTCTTAAAAAAATAGACTATTCAATTTTTTTTAACAAAGGGAACTTTATTAAAAGAGAGAGGAGTCAGGCGGTTACAAACATGATGGAAAAAAAGAGAGAAAAAAGACAAACACCAAAATCAAAAATGAAGAACTAAACGCTTTCCATTTCTCCAGAATTCTTTGATCCCCACGTTGTGAAGTCTTCATCCTTAATGAGCCATTTCTTGTTCCTGTTTACCCAACACCAGCCTTGAATTTGTTTGAAGCAAAGCTGGATAATCTTGTCTTTGGTTGGAGCTTTCTCTTCATAAATGAATGCATTTCTTGCTTTCCAAATATTCCAAGCGATAACCCCTGGCAGAATTAGTCGCAGACAACCTTTGAAGTTCTTCTCATTTCCAGTAACCCACCAAGCTATCATATGTTGGCGAAGAGTAAGACCCTGCCGTATAGATGGGCCCATAACAAAGGAGTTAAAGTAGTCCCAAACTTGTGTACTAAGGGAGCAATGAAGTAGGGAGTGGTCCAATGAGTCTTCATCCGTTCTGCAGAGAGTGCAGCAACTAGGGAGGGAGTAGCCAGATCTTCGCAAGCTGTGAGGGAATGGTAAGGCTTCGTTTAGAACTCTCCATTGAAACATCTTAAGCTTGGGGATTTGAGTTTTGTGCCAAATGTAATTGATGGAGGTTAAATTTGGGTAGTCCATTTCCCCCACTTTGATAGCTCTCTTGAGGGTGAATGAACCACCATCCCATGACATTCCCATCTCATCTCTGGAACTGTAGGTCTCTCCAATGTCATTGATTCTGCTGATTCTCTTCCAAACATGGGAGTCTGTTATCCTTTCCTTGATAGTGCCTGACTTCAAGTATTTACCTCTCATTTAAGAAGCCCAGATGCCTTGGTCATTATGGATCTTCCACCATAGCTTTAAGGAGTAAGCTTCTTGAAGTCTTTCAATGTTTTCGAGGCCCAAACCCCTTACCTCAGTAGGTTGGCAGATTGAGCTCCAGCTTTTCTATATATATATATATATATATATATTTTGGTGTTTGTCTTTTTTCTCTTTTTTTCCATCATGTTTGTAAACGCCTGACTCCTCTCTCTTTTAATAAAGTTCCCTTGTTTAATATATATATATATGTGTGTGTGTGTGTGTGTGTGTGTATATATATATATATATATAAACAAAGATTTGTTTTTCTATTACTAACACACAAGGAAAAGTGTTACATCAGTGGTAGCTATGCCTCTAATGCATCAAGGCAATTGAGTGTAAGAAAGAAACAGTTTTTGAGTATGATCATGTAACCCTAGCTTAGCCAATGTGTGAGCTGCCAGATTGCTCTCACAATAAGTATGTTAAATGATGACACCATTTGTGTGTAACAAGATTTCTGAGAGTGATCCATAAAACCAACTCAAGCTTCTTCTTGCTGCCATTGTTTCTATTTGGAGCCGGTTTGTAGTATGAAGAGGGAAATGAGTAGCTTCCATTACCGTTCACATGCAGGCCATAACTATAGCTCCTATATATAACAGCATGTTCTTAGGCCGTGTTTTGACATTCATTTAGATGTTCCTTTATTCATGTCAAGTGCAAGGGATAATTTAGAACATTTAGAACTCTATCTACCTTCAAATGACAATGCAACAAGGCAACAAGTATATATAGGGTAAAAAGGGTGACATTGTGCAGACAATGATATTTGCTATAAGGTGGTTGAGCACTAATATAATAGGCTAATAGCTGTCACTATGCTTCATTAATTTATAATTGGTGAGTTTAAGGACATATTTTTAAAAGTCAATTTGTTAGTTGTCAACTTTATCAGGGGAAAAGGAAGATAAACCACCTTAATGAATAAACTTTGTAATTAAAAGCTTCGACCTCTTTTTTATACTCCATTCCAAAAAAGGATTTCCCATTTTGACTTCACGGAGATTAATTTTTTTTTTTAAAGATATTGAAAAGATGTTGAATGGTCAACAGTGAGTGGTTAGAATTTGTTTAGAAAAGAGAGAAGTACTTTGGACAAAGTATTCTTTTCTAAAAATGGAAAGAGAAAAAGTGAAAAAATTATTTTGGAACGGATGAAAAAGGAAACAGAGAAATCCATTTGGGATGGAGGTAGACTAAATCTGAGTACGATTCAGACCTACTAATATTCCAATCTAATAAGTTGGAAAAATATTCAGACCTACTAAATCTGAGTACGATCGATATATATCTTTACAATATGTCTCTTAATCTGGTTTTGAATATTATTCTTTTGTTCGTAAATTGCCCTAATAAATGTGGGAAATATTTTTAAATTGTGTGTCAAAGTGTCATGCCAATATTTCTTGTAATGCATTTTGGAGTTGATTCTGTAGCTAGCCCAGACAACTGGGGTGTAAGTTGTTCCTTTTTCTTCATCTCAAGTATCTTTACTTGCTGGGATTATTTAGATGATACTTCTTGCTGGCGAACAAATATCTGGGCTTTATAGCAATGATACTAATAGAAGTGTGAAACAAAGGACATTGGCCAGTGGCCAGGAGTTTGCGGAAAGTATGGACCACAATATTCCTGATGGTAATTCACTTTTTTCACTGTGTGCCCTTTGTTAGTTTGATGGTGATTACTATTTACTACCATCATCAGCGCCTTAATCCCAACTATGTTTGGGTTGGTGCCTGGTGGCATGAAATGCATAGTGTTGAATAATTGTCTATTAGTATTTAGCACTATACATTGACTACATTGAAGGATATTTAATTTGATAAAGAATGAAATCTTAACAGGAACCATTGTTGCCATTGAAGATGTGAGTCAACATATGTTTATTGCAGTCAATAGAGCTGAAAGTAGTTATACTTTAGTTGGTGAAATACATTACTCACTTGCAGGCGAGAGGGCTCTCTTTAGGGTAAGAAATTTCTTCATTTCTGATATTATTATCTTATTCAACATAATGTCTTAGTAACTGGTTAAGTGTCAAATATGTTGTTAAATGTGACCACATTATAGCTAGTTTATTTTGGAAACAAACAATGGGTATGATTAGCTCCCACCGGAAAATGCCATCAACAGCTACTTTCTACTAATGTGGCAGAGCACATTGAGGGAATGATTTATGTTGACAGCAAAGTATTGAAGTCTATAAGTGTATTAGCTGCTATATTCAACCATTTATTATTGTTATGTAGCTCCTATATCTGCCTTATAATTTCTGTCCATGAGTTTATTATTATAAAATGACATCATGACATGGTTTTTAGCTCATACCTTTTACCAGGGCATTAGGCAGCAAATTCATGCTATTCCTGTTTATCATTCAGTGGGATCTTCTCCACTTTTAGTTCAAACTCATTTGTAAATTTGATCACCAGCAAGAAGGCATCATTCATGTCTAAGTTTCTGGCATTGGTTGTATGTGTGTGTGTGTGTGTCCGCGTGCATGTTGAAATGTTGAACAGAAGTCCTTCCTCGCAACAGTAATATACTAACATCACTCATTCTATGGCTTCTTTGATCAATTTAACTGTGCTCAGGTGAAGCATCATGAATCAAGGAGGTGGATGTCCCAAACTTCTTATTTTTCATTGATTTCATTGTATGCCAATGATGAATATGGGGAACCATTGCGATTAAGCTGCAGGATGAGATCTGATTATGTTGACATTTCCAAATCTGATCGTGGTGCATGCACACTTTGGTATGCCATTCCTTGCGAATTGAAAGCATTCGAGGGAGCTGCTGATTGTGAAATGTTTCCCTCAACCAAACGTATGTTTCAACTTGTGAACAAGAAAAATGGCCGTGCTGCTGCTTTTGTTGACGGAGTCCTGGAATTTGTCAGCAAGCCAGGAAATCCATTTAAATGGAAAGTACTTGATAATCATTTTCAAACTGTTAATAATCATTCGCCTAGTATTTTAAGGGAGGAATCTCAAACAGGTAATCAATATGAATTGCAAGTAAAAGACAGAGCAGATCATGGAAAAAATGAAAATACTTCGGGTATAACTATTACAATGGACAATATTTCATGGACCATCGTGCATGAACTTTCACATACTAAGGAAAAGTTTCCACTCCTTCAGGGGTCTATTAGTTCTACTGAGACTATGGTTCAGATTTCAAACAATAAAATTCGGGTGATGAGCAGGTTACAGGCTCTACTATATTATTTTGACGCCAAGAAAAACTTATGGTGAGCATACATTTTAATACGTATTATTCAAGAAATATCAGGAAACCCCATATCACTTTCCCCAATGTTTCAATACAAAATTCATGCAGGAGAAAATTGATGCATCCACTTGAAGTTTTCATTTTCTATCGTTATAGACTCCTATCCAAGGACTTGGAACATGTTACCCATCGGGTGCCTGGTCATCTCTATGCAAGAACTGGAGAGGTCTGTTATTTTGTGTACTAGTTTTCTGTCTATCTGATGGTGCTAGTTTCTGGATGCTTCTAATTATTTGTTGCATGGTATTTGCAGTTAAATTTATCAATGTGTGAGGCTGCACTCGATATCATACTCTTTGTCATTGGGCAGTTAAATTTGGCTGGCCCTTATGCAGTAAAAAGCTCCAACATTTTAGCAAACTGCTGCAAGGTTCTCTATATCATATGTAAATCTTTTTAATCAAACATTTTATGATATGCTTAATAACATACTATTATATAGAACCAAATGTATCATAGTGCTCGTACCCCTACATAATCTTTGATAGCAAACTTAATAGCTTCTTACTTCCAGATTGAAAATAAGTCAAGCTTGACGCTTGTCTGTAACTTCTATGATAATCAAGATGTTTCAGTTTCTGGAAGACAATCTAGTGTCATATTATTAAGGTATGCTAATGCATTTTCCTGTTTTGACTTGAAACGTTCTGTGCTATTCCCCTTGATCCTATATTATTACCGGCTTTGAAACAACCACAGTAAGTTTCTTGGCGGGGGCTAGCTTGCAGCTTGCTAAAAATCACTTTGTATGGATTAATGTCATCCACCTTGTTCTAGGAACTCTATTCAAATAGAAGTGGGTTTTCTCTTTAGAAGATTTTTTAAGAGAACAATGAATATAAATCTTAACCCACCAGTAAGTTGATGAATATACCTCTAACTAAATGTATAGCTTAATTTAAAATTCTTGTTGTCGTACCTATAGAAGATTGTTAAATAACAACTTGCATATGCTATATAATATGGCTCTCAGGCATTTGGCTTCAACAAATCAGTCCCCAGATGCATCTGTTTTTTCAATCCAACTTACAGAGACGAGGGTCCTATCTACTTCTTTAATTCGTCTCTCACTCTTGGAAGCCCAAGCATTCTCTTGTAGAACACGTATAGAATCATTAAAAGGTGAGTTTATCTTTTTTCTGTAACATGAGATCACAACTATTCTCAAATCTGGATTGATTGGATTGTGGCTTAGACTCGAGTAAATTCCACGAATGATACATAAACTTTCAGTTTTTTTCCTTTTGGTACCTAAACTTCATTTTCTATCTTAAAAATATTTGTACTTTGAAAACCTTTCGCGAATGGTACCTGGAGCCGGTTTCCTGGTAACCATGATGTCATTCACTCATCAATTTGACCCTGTTATTTTTTCATCTTCTCCCACCACACACTCCCCTCTTCTTATTCTTCTTCTTTACTCCTTCTTTCACCCCATTTTTTTCATTCTTTTTATTTTCCCCTTTTTACCTTTTTCCCCTCCCCCACCCCCTTCATTCCCTCTTTTTTTCAGCCCCCAACCTCTTTTTTTGTTCAGTTTTTTCTATTTTTTTATTAATTTTTTATTTGTTTTTATATCATTTTTGTTAATACATGTCCTTTTTGGTTTTTATATTTTTTTGCTTTAGTTTTTTGTTTGTTTTCAATCTTTGTTGTAAACTGCTCCCTCCGTCCCCCAAATTCGTTTGCTATAATTTTGGCACACAAACCAATTACATTGGTAAAATGACTCAATTGCCCTTTAACTGCCCTGCATTCCTCAACCGCCCTAGCCTTTTCCCTCCACCACCCAGCCTATGCCCTCCGCCACCGCAGCCTCTCAATCCACTGTCATCCCAACGTCCTCAACCATCTGCATGCTAGCCACCGCCCAGCTCCCTCCAGTTTCAAAATGTGAAAACAAAAACCAACAAGAGACCAAACATTAGGTTTTGTGGAGAGAAACCCCCCGACAGAAAACAAAGCCCCAATATAATTTTCAGGTCTAGAACATAATCAGGTTTAGATTTCAATATAGAACAAACCTAGATTTCAGCCGACACCAATTTCAGAACGGAATTAGATCTAGATTTTAGAATTTAGAAAACAAAATTGACATGTCGGAGAACAGGAGAAGACAACCAGTGTGCTGAGGTCAAAGAGAAACGATGAAGACATCTAGCTCCGGCCCGTCTTCGAAAACATTAGTCGGCCGCCATCCTACTCCATAGTTGTTCGTCAAAGACATCTAGCCCCAACAATATTGACATCTCAGGGAAGACAACCAGTGCTCTGAGATGAAAGAGAGACGAAGGGGAAGAAACATGAGAGAGATTGGGTTTTAGGATAAGATTACATATGAAGAGACATTTGAATAAGGGAGAAAGAGATTAAATGATGAGGGAGTACTAAACAAAAACAAATAAACAAAATATGCTCAAAATAAATAAAAAGAGACATTTCAATCTTTTTTTGTTTTCTATCTTTTGTATTAACAAGTGTCTTATCTTTTTTGGTTGTTATTTTTCTAACTTTTAATATTTTTGATAGAATAATTTTATTGCTCACATAATACGAAGGGTTTGGTACAATACTACAATATATATAGAGATAAAAGCTAGACTATTACACAAGAGCCCAATATTATATTATAGTTACATATACTATCTAACACCCCTTCCTCAAGCTGAGAGTGACTTGAGCAAAAAGAAGCTTGGACACGAGAGAATGAAAACGCTGTGATGTCAAGGGCTTCGTGAGAAAGTCAGCGAGTTGACATTCAGAGGAAACATTCTCAACTCTCATGGATCCTCAGTTCCTACATGCTTCATCTTCTTATGAAAAACCGGATTTTTGGTGAGACAGATGGTCTGATTATCGCAGAAAAGCACTGGTGGAGGCGTAGCAATGTGTAAGTGCAAGTCAGAATATAGATAAGCCACATTACCTCCGATGCCGCAGCAGACAAGGAACAATATTCTGCTTCTGTAGATGACTTAGAGACACGAGTATGCATTTCAGTGCTCCAAGACACAAGATTATCACCAAGATAGATGAAATAAACTGAAATAAAAAACACATTCCATGTTTTGAGTTATCAAAAAACTGAAATAAAAAAAATTGAAATATTAAACTGAAAAAAACTGAAATACTAAAATACTAGAATAAGAAAAAAATTAAAATATTAACTGAAATCAGAAAAAAAACTGAAATATTAAAAAAATAGAAGAAAACTGAAAATTTTAAAGTATATTATACGGAGTACTTTATAGTTTAATGAACCACATCAATGAAAATTAAATCAAATAGAGTATACTTTAATGGTAACAAAGTAAAAGAAATCTTACCCATGGAGGAGAGTCGCTGCTGGAGGCTGATGGAGGAGAATCGATGGAGGAGAGTCGCTGGCTGGAAGTTGCGGAAGTCACCCTGGAACGGGAAGCCTAGATTCGCGAACCTCCAGACTGCCGATTGGATCAGGTCAATTGAATTAGGTCAAAATCGGCCAATTTTTTTCACCGATTAGGCGTCGCCTAATCGCGGCTAAGCGTCGCTAAGCGCGCTTAATAGCCTAGTCGGCCGTGGCGCTAGTCGTACAGCAAATCTCCATGGCAAAACCGCTCGGACGACTAGTCGGCGACTAGTCGTGGCCTAGGCGACGACTTGACAACCATGGAAGGGATGGGTGGAGCGGAGGGGAAAAGGAAAAAATATGGGGGTCAAAAAAAGAAGAAAAAATGGGGTGAAAGAAGAAGAAGAAGAGGGGAGTAGGTGGAAGTAGACGAAGATAAAATAATGAGGTCAAATTGAAGAGTTTAAAATATGTAAAATTGTAATTTGGCCCAAATGACCTGTGGGTCACATGGAAACCGGCTTCAGTTACCATTCGTGAAAAGTTTTCAAAGTTCAAGTATTTTTGAGATAGAAAATGAAGTCTAGGTACCAGAATGAAAAATAGCTGAAAGTTCTGAAAGTTCGAGTACCATTTGTGAAATTGACCCTCTTGGACTTTCTTAGTCTAGGTGGGCTGTTTCTTTTTTATTTGATTATTACTCTTTTTGCCTACTATTTTTGTCCCTTTTTGTTCATTTCGTTATGTCCCAAAAAACTCGTTATTTATTGGCTTTGGGGTATGATGGAATAAAGAAAAATGGCTCTTTGAATTGTCGACGCTCATCATGGGTCGCTCAAAAGCAGCCGCTCTATGTTTTAAACATAGGGGTCAGGCTGCGTAAGGGGTAAGGCACATCCGACCATACTTTTGTGGGATTGAACTGGGTTGTTGTTATGTCCCAAAATCTTTTTTCCAAGTCATATTTGATTTAATTTATGTCGCTTAAATCATTTCGTACTTTACAAATTCAATATAAACCACACAATTCCAACAACAACAACCTACCTAGTCAGACCACACAATTCCACTTCATAAATTCTGTTTGACATTCTCCCACATCCCTTTATGTTTTTGGGACGGAAGAAGCATTTTTTGACAGTTTTTCTGAAACACACACCCAAAATGGAACAAGGGCATGAGACATCCTACCATTTAACCATGGCAATGTTGTATTGATATGGAATCCCATATATAACATAACAGCACACACATTTCACTTTCCNCCCCCCCCCCCCCCCACTTGGCCACAAGCCAGTCCCACTGGGATCTCTTCTCTTATTTTTTACATATGCAAAATAGGAAATTGATTTGAGCAAGTATTAACTCATTCTTTTTTCATTTTGTCATCATTTTGATCTGTGTTGCTAGGGGCTTCTAAGGTCGGCGTACTTGAGATTTAATCTACTGGAAAAAAACTAGCATGAAATTTATTTGTGTACTCTATATTATTTTATGTGGATCCTTTTCATTGGCTTTCTTCGTCTCTGATTGATTTCAGACTCAAAAACTTCCCCTGGTCCATTTCTTGTGGTTGAAATTTCACCGAATACTGAGGTACCCTTGCAAACTTGCTTCATTTGATAAAAATTTATTGATGTCGTCGTATTCTGTTTATATATAGGAACACTAAATCTCTGCTTGGAAATTTTAGGATGGCTTCTTAGTTGTGGTGTCTCCATTACTTCAAGTTCACAATGAGACTGATTTCCCTCTGGAGCTGCGTTTTCAACGTGGTCAACAAAAGGACACTGAGTATGCTTTTGCCGTTTTGGATGTTGGGGATACACTTGATGATTCCATGGCAACATTTGGTGCTATTAGTCTCTCCGGTGAACAAAGAAAGGCATTAATGTCTCTAAGTGTTGGTATGTAAATGGTACATATAATGACTGTTTGGACAATCATTTTTAGTGTACACATTGCGGCCTGTGTACATCCTTCCCTCACCTCTCTCGAGTGGGACTTAGTAAGTATATTTGTATCGGGTGTCTAAGTGATAAGTGTTGGTATGGTTGGAGCTTAATGTTGGAGAAAGATCTGTTCTTTTTTATTTATTTTCATAGGCCCTAGCTGATAATCCTATTGTTTTTCACACAAAAAAAAAATCTCACCTATAAAAAGTTGATGAAAGTCATGAATTACAATAACTCCATCTGATTTATTTATACATGTTTGGAAAGGTTTAATTGTGCATGTAGAAATGGTAAATCATTAATAGCTTTTGACAGGACACCGTTGAGAATTTACTTGATGCTCAAATTGCATACCCTAATACCACATTGATGCAGGGGTTCTAATTTCTAGAATCCTCACTGCCAAAAATTGAAATGCCTCTTTTGGACTTGCCTTTCACCTGCTCTATTATTTGAAATATTCCTCTGAGATTTTTAACAATAAATATCTCTATTCACAGGTAATTTCTTACTCTCTTTTAGACCAAGCAACATAGTTGGTATAACAAACTCAAAGATTTCAACAGTCCACTGGTCTAGTGATCTCAAAGGGAGGAAGCCTGTCCATCTATCAGGAATATTTGATAAATTGAGTTACCAAGTCCGCAAGGCATTTTCTGTTAAATCACTCAAGTACTCGTTTAGTACTGTATATTGTGATATAGAGTTTGAAGATGGACGTGCTGCTAAGATACACTTCCTGATTCACAGCATTGGAAAGGATGTACCTCTTACACACCCAGATACCTTTGGATATGTACATGCAGATAAAAACTCTTCAATTTCATTGCAAGAGCAGAAAGAAATCTTTCTTATTCCGACTGTTTGTGTCTCCAACTTATTACAAACAGAGATTCATGTGGCTTTGAGTGAGACAGGTATAAGAGAATTGTATTTAAAAGTCTTTTAGTTTAACGAGTATAATTCTTGGATGCCAACTTTGTGCAGATCTCCATTCTACATTGTCGAGCGACTCTATATGGAACACTGCAACGATTGCCTCAGGATCTTGTGTCAATTTATATGCTGATCCTGCGTTTAAATATTTTAATGTCACTTTAACTGCTTATAGTTCAAGTTGCAAACCAATTGTTAGCGCTGATTGGGTGAAAAAGTTACAGAAACAGAAGAGCAATATCTCCCATTTAGACATTGAATTAGAGTTTTGCAATGGAAAGTATTTTGCATTGCTAAGATTGTCTCGAGGACACCGAGGAAAATTAGAGGTGTATATCATGGATTTAAATATAACACAAGTCCCGAGGCTACAAGTGTTACATTATTTTTATAATTGCAGGCTGCTATCTTTACTTCATATACATTGGAGAATGATATGGTTTTTCCTTTCATCTGCCTTCCCGCAAATCAGAAGCCTATGCCTAGGTAATATGATATGATTTGTGGAAATTAAATTTAAGATAAAAGTGTCAAGGAACCAACTCAACCAAAAGCTCAAGCTATTTGTTGTGGCCCAGGAAAGGTTCTTTATATTCTAACACGCCCCCTTGCGTGGAGGCGTAGTCTTTTTCGAGCCTTGCACATAAAACATTAATATTTTTTTTAAAAATGGGTAGCGCTGAGTTTCGAATCCGTGATCTCTTAGTCAACAAGGCTCCGATACCATGTCAAGGAACCAACTCAACCAAAAGCTCAAGCTTGTGGTTGTGGCTTAGGAAAGGTTCTTTATATTCTAACAAAAAGTTAGTTGAAAAGACTTCAAGAAGAATGACATCACGACCATCCAGAAGAATGCCACCATCTTTGTGATGTCATTAAGGAGATTTAGGATGAATACTTTGATTATTTATACATTACTTCTCGTTAATTCTCTATAATCAATATCTGAAAATGTATATTCTTTCTCCTGTTTTTTACAAGATTAATAGGATTAAGTTTTGTGCATTGACATCAAGTACACTATGCAGGGATGTTGTCCAAAAACTTGGTTCCGAAGTTCCTCCAGAGCTAGGGTCATATCTTCCTCCTAAATCAACGAGGTCCTGGTTCATGAAGTAAATACATTTACCTTCTCACTGGCTTGTTTTATTGTCCTTCTCATTCCTGTGTCATGCCTAGTTGTCTTTCTACGTTGTCCATTTGTTTCACCTATATTATTCTGTTCTTGAAAAGTACAGATGCCACAAGGTGCGTCTCACATTGGCAGATGAAATCACATCTGACGCTCTACTGGACTTGGATGCTTTATCAGGCCTTACAGAGGTGGACTTTGAGCTTGAGGAGAGATCTGGTTTTAAGCTTATAAAAAAGATGGGTGTATCTTTAAGACCATATATTCTTAAAGAACTCCCCTCTCAAATGGTGTCGATAAACCCACGATATGTTGTAGTGAATGAATCAAATGAAGTTATCTATGTCCGTCAATGTTATTTGGAGGTTTGTTTTTTACATTTTAAAACCACATTTATTAATTTTGAACTGCTATTACAGAACTCTTATACTTAATATTGTCTTTCATTTAGGAAAATGGCATGGAAACAATCATTACTATTAACAGTAAACAAAGAGTGGCCTTAACACTGAGAAGGGGGATACCAAAAAAGAGAGAAACTACCGTGTTCGAGACTTTTCTTAAAAAGCACCAAAAAACTCAAGATAATTTGTCATTTATTCAGTTCCGACTGAATGATTATGGATTGTGTTGGTCAGGACCAGTATGCATTGCCTCGCTAGGCCGATTTTTCCTCAAGTTCAAAAGATCCTTGGAATTTCAAGCCAATCAATCAGATCATTCAACATGTCATGAGGCCAATATGTACGAATTTGCTGTTGTTAATGTTGTTGAAGAAGGTTCTAGCCTTGTTTTACACTTTTACCAGCCTCTAAATGTAGACTTGCCTTACCGGATCGAGAACTGCTTGCATGATACTGCTATTACATTTTACCAAAAGGTTGTAAATCAAAATTTTCAGTTACTTTGCTATGTATGATGTTATAAATGATTATATTCATAATTTAATTCATGTAGCAACTGTTCTGGCAAACTTTTATTCTTTCAGGGATTGATATTGCCTGAGGTTCTGGGATCTGGAAGTAGCACTAATTATGCCTGGGATGACTTGACTCTTCCTCACAAGCTTATCATCCAAATTGGTGGTAATAATTACTCCATTGAAATGCTTCTTGCTTTTTCAGTTTTCATGATAATATTGGAACTCTAATACTCTATTTAACATAGTGTGTGCGTGTGTGTTTGTGTTTGTTGCTATCTTGGGAGTATTTCATTTGTAGGTTACTGTTCTGTTATTTGTTATTTTTGACAGATGTAACAATACACTAATTTGACAGTTTGTGTTTGGATAATGGAATTATTTTCCTTTCCAGAAAATTTGATGCTTAATTATTGGAAATAATTTCCTCTGTGTTTTGATGATTAGCCCTTAAATTGGCATTTTCATGTCAGATCTATTTGTGTTTCAAAATGATTACCGGTTGTGATGTGCTGGATTTGCTGGCAGCATCATTATAGCTATTAGATAGTTCAATTGTGTTCCATCTTTTGTGTTGCAGATGTCCACCTATTGCGCGAAATAAGCTTGGACAAAGTGCGTGAATGGAAAAAAATTTATGGGACCAAGCAACAGAGACAGTTGGGGCTCCATTTACCAATCGAGAAGCAGCCTGAAAATCCAAAAAGTGACCTTAGACAATCCAGTGACACAGAGATGGTAAACTTAGGTTATGAAGTGTATACAGATGGTTTGACTCGTGTTTTGAGAATTTCTGAGTTTGCTGATAGACGCAGAGGGGACACTTTGTTTCACTCTAGAACAAAGATGCAGCTAATAGTATCATCTTTGGCACTTAAGTTACTTGAGCGTGCAAGACAGGTCAGTTCCTATACAGCCCCTACTTCACAGGTTGGATGAACGATATAGTGAATTATATGTATAACCACACGCCCATGCATTATCTTTTGCAAGGGAGAAGTATGACTATGATCCCAATGCATATATATTGATACCTTGCATTAGAAGTGGTTGCCCAAAATGATTAAATTGACATGTCCTTAAGGAAGGTCATCATAAAATGAGATCAGGATAATTTTCTGGAATGGGATCACTTGGGGGTGACATGATGATTGAACGTCCCTAAATAACAATAGGGAGGTGATAGCTACACTCCACTTTTCAATAGCGTATTGAAAAGACATGTTTAATCTTATATAAACCAAGCCCTTATCTCTTTAACCATCATAATAGCCAATGTTTAAGATTTTCCATCATAATAGCCAATGTTTAAGATTTTAGTTTGTTTATACTAGTGTAATTCCTTTACTTTTAAATAAAATATAATTATAATGATGTACATATTATCATTATTATTGTTAAATAATTAAAAAGTGTTATACATATAACTTTGCTCATATTATAATTTCACGGTAACCAATTTATGATTATTTCTTATCCTTATTTTTGTTTGACAATTAATCTAAACTTTATAGAGAGGAACTCTCCACGTTCCACGTATGATGATACACATGTAACCTAACAGTCAATTAATTTTTTTCAAATTAAAGCATTTCTATCGGTATTCAATGGAAAAAATGCTAGAATCAAATTTAGTTTTTTGGTTAGATCTAAACAATGGTAATACCCAACTTAGCTTTTCTTCGATTAAAGTTTTTGGGTCTTAAATGTTATTTTCTGGCAATTGCCGATGGCATCATGGTGATGTATTTTATGGCAACTTACCATGTGAGTATTTTTAGGTTTTTTTCTGAAGTAGGGGTCATAAGTTCACAAATTAGGTGAATTTAAAACAGTTTAAGATGTAGTGGACTTAATTTATCAAATGGGTTGAATTATATTGATTTAGTGGATGTGACGATCACGCAGAACAAAATGGTTTCCAATAGCTGTTAAGGTTAGACACATCTATGTATTGGTTGTGATGTACTGATATAGTGATATGTAATATATGTGAATCCGAAAATACAAGTCCAGAATGTCAAGAATAAACCTCATTTATGATTTAAACAGAGGAACACATTTCTATCTCTAGTACATCTTTGATGTTTAGTATTTGATTACATATGTTGATAAAAAATCATCTCATTTTCATCCATCTATAATTGTTTGTCTAGTATTCCGCCTAATTTTTTAGTAGTCATGAAGTTGACAACTGACAAGGAAATTAGTAATCATGATATCTGCCTAATCTTTTTTATCCAATTTACCAAAAGGAGATAAGTGAAGTTGACAACGATGAACCATCAATCTACAGTCCTGTTGTTGTTGTGAGGCTTGAAGGCATCTGTTTAAACTCTGTGTTTACTGACCGGCATAAGTTTAACCAGCTAATGGTACAGGTAGGATATTTGTCCATTCTTGCATGTATTCCACTATTTAACTCTGATTTGTCATTTTTCTGGTTGTTTTCTTGATTTCAGTTGTGTTAGCCTAATGTCTTGAAATTTCATTATGGTTCAGACACTAAGTGTGGATCAGAAGTGGCATGGAGCTCCTTATGCAGCAATGCTTCGAAGATATCAGCTAGAAGATTGCAACAAAAATGACAGTGTACTCCTAGTGGAACTTGCTCTAGTTTCATCCAATTCCAAAGTTAAACAAGTCAAGCATTTATCCATTGTTCTGCAGGTAATTCACAAAAGTACATGCTAATTACTTTTAGGCATCTATAGTTGCTTCCATGTTGTAAAGAGATCATTTCGAATCAGACTGCATGGTTTGTATTTACAAGTAAGCAATCATCTGGGTTACAACCAGTTACGAGTATCTAGTTTATTGTCTCTACTAGTGCTATTGTAAGTCACTCAGTCAGTATGTCTTGCTGGCACATTTTTGTAGGTTCACAGGTTTATTTCCCTAACATGTGGTCATCGTGATGTGCAGTTGACTTTCAATGGTTCAACCACAATATGACATAGTAACTTATACACTTTTACCATCTGGATGAGTGCATACTACAGTGTTGGTTTAAAGCATCACATTGCTATTTAGAGGAGACCAAAAGATAAAAATCTCCTAGTGTATTCTAGTGAAGATTTTTTTGAATACTTGGAGAAACAGACGAAACATAACGATCTGGTTTAAGACGTATCACCACTAGGGAAGTTAAAAGTGTGTAAGGTGTAACCATTTCTCTTACAGCCTTACAAAGCCATCTGATCCAGTGATCCTCTCAGTACATTTAGAACCTTTAAGGCATGTCATGTTTCATGATGTGCATGATGATTTTACAGTATTACTAATGTAATGGGACATGCTGCACCAGTATTCTTGACTCATTCACCATCTCATGATATTTTTTATGGAAGTGGAGAACTTTATGATGATGATGAATTTGGTACTTCATCATGTCATCCCTTTGTAAGAAGTTTGTGACAGAATTGGCATCCACATAAAAAAAATTAACTATGTTTTCTTTTAATGATTTTAGTAACTTGTTTTTTATTAGTAATAATTAACATCAAATTAATAAACTTCATGCCATTGATCTAACGTCGTTGGGATTAAGGGGCACTATGAATGTCGACCCTCCTAAGTCTGCTCATTCACTTATTTGTCTTTTGCAGCCACTTGATTTCAAACTTGACGAGGAGACATTAATGAAACTTGTCCCTCTCTGGAGATCTTCTCTCAGTGATTCAAATACCCCCAGTCAACAGTATTACTTTGAGCATTTTGAGATCCACCCTATAAAGGTGTAATGACTTAGTCTTCTTTGTGGTGAACCAGCGTCCTATTCTTTTATCTAAAGAAAAAAAATGAAGTTTTTCTTATATTCACTTATTTGTTCTTGAAGATTGTTGCGAGCTTTCTTCCCGGTGAAGCTTATGCGAGTTACAGCTCTACCCAGGAAACACTGAGGACTTTATTACATAGCGTGATAAAGGTTTGATGGCAGTTTCATCTATAAAAAGAACATCTCGGTTCTGAATTTGTGCTGTACCATGATACCACCCACCCTCTTTCATCCTTCTGCAGATGCCTGTTATTAACAATATGAATGTGGAGTTGAATGGAGTGCTTGTTACACATGTACTGTTAACATTGCGTGAATTGTCAATTAAATGTGCACAACACTATTCATGGTAAGTACTACGTATATCTTTTCTTTTTCTTGTGCTTCTTTGTCATGCTTTTCTTTTTTGATGGAACAATCTGACTTTGTAATTCAAGTCCTCTTGAACAACAACAACAACAACCCACTTGAATCCCACAAGAGTGGGGTCTGGGAGGGTGTGTGTACGCAGACCTTACCCCTACTCGAAAGTAGAGAGGCTGTTTCCAAAGAGACCCCAAGCTCAGCATTGAAAGTTGCATTGATTGACTAACTGCTGCTTCATTAATTAAAGAAGCGCAGACAATTTAGAGATCCATTTTGCTTTATTCCATCACATCCCAAAGTTAAAAAATAGTGAATTTTTGGCTCCATCGGAGATGGTGGAAATAAACATAAAGAAATGATTAATGAAGAACTTCTAGTTGAAGGAGTCAGTACATCTGGTTTTAAACTTGTAAATGCGTATCTCATATGTTCATTCAGACAACGTAAATAATAAATATACATCTTAAATAAATAGTTCAAGAAGCACTTGAACATTGTTAAAGAGTATCCCACATTGGAACTTGAAGAGAAAATAAATCGGTATATATAAGATCTTGAGTTGAACTAAGTAATCGATTGGATTCAATCTTTTAATGTGGTTCACCCAAGTGTCTTATAGTCCAGTCCAGTGACTCTTACCCCATCCTAAATTCTATCATGGTATTGGAGCCAGTTTTAATCCACCTCATTTGTTAAGGTGTTCGTCTAGAAGTTCATTCCTAGCGGCCCATTTGTCTTTAGCCTAGTTGTCCGTATGGAAAATGGCTTGTGGCCCATATAACCCGATTGTTTGTCTGGAAGTCCATGCCTAGCGATTCGTGGTCCTTTAGGTGTTGGCACTTTCGGTCCTTTCATTTCCTGGGGAGGGGGAGTCCATTTGCAAGTGGTCAACCGGTTAGATTCAAAATGAACCGGTTGTCCCCAAGTATCTAAATGGGGACATTTTGGGATGGGAAACGGCACTTATTTGAAGAATTCATGCAACATAGCCGACCACCATTGTTGCAGTCAACCACATTGGAGTTTTCCGCTGCCAACGACTTTTATTGATCACTTGTGCTACCTCTAAGTGCCCCAACCACATGTTATATTAGAAGTATGTTTTGGTAACTTTTTTTCGGAATTGGAGAAAAATAGAGAATGAAAACTAGAAAACAGAAAAATGCAAAACTTAAAATGGAAAAGAGCAATAAGCGGACCCCTAGGCTTTCAGAGGCCAACCTGTCTGGGTTTTGTGCCAAGTTGAGATGAAATTTTACATCATTGATGACTACAATGTGAGGAGTTTGATACATGAATCGGTCTTTCGCCAACATTTATATTCTTCTCTTATCTTACGTTGGTATAGGTACACAATGAGGGCAATTTATATTGTAAAGGGGAGCCCATTGCTTCCGCCAGCATTTGCTTCTATCTTTGATGATTTTGCTTCTTCCTCACTTGATGTCTTCTTTGATCCTTCCAGTGGCTTTATCAAGTTTCCTGGACTTACTATGGGTAAAAACAAAGTTGTATACTCTAATATTAATTATTATGTGTTTTTTTAAAACTGCACCTCAAATTTCTTGGACTTACTATGGGTAAAAACAAAATTGTATACTCTAAACAAAATTGTATACTCTAATATTAATCATACATGTCTACAAAGCCAGTGTGTACTGGCTTTGTAGACATGTATGAAACTTCAGGTGAAAGAGTAATGTTTTTTTATTAAAGTATAGCTTTTTTTAATTTTGAAGGGTACAATTGACATACGTGTTTGTCATACAAATTTTTGCATACATCACTTGTTCAGGACACTTTTTGGCAAAACAAATTACATGAAATTCAAGAAAATTTATCTAATTTTGCTGGGATAGGCTTTTCTTTGGGACACTTTTTTGGGAAGGAAGGAGTAGGAATCTATTGCATGACAAGAGGATGACCACAACCTTCTCCCCTTTTTATTGGCCTCTAGAGAGTGAAAGTATCAACATATTCTTTTGTTTATCGAGTGGGCTAGCCTTTTCATAAATAAACCTGACTTCCTACAGGTACATTCAAACTCATCAAAAAGTGCATTGATGGTAAAGGATTTTCTGGAACGAAACGCTATTTAGGTGATCTAGGGAAAACTGTAAGTCGATTACTCCAAACATTTACTGATATTCATGTTTTAGTTTCCAAAAATGTAAAGTGGTGCTTATTTTTGCAGTTTAAGTCAGCTGGGTCAAATATCCTATTCGCTGCTGTCACTGAAGTATCGGACTCAGTTCTGAAAGGAGCAGAAGCGAGTGGGTTTAATGGAATGGTAAAAGCTCTCTGTTTTTATTGCATGAGAAGCATTAAATTTCTTTGTCGTAGGAGTTAAAGAGTTCTGTCTCGAGGGTGTTAAGACTTAGATGGGGAAATATACCTGTACTACTATCAATTTGCTGTTAAAACATAGAACAAAAAAGGAAAAAAAGGCATAGGAGAAGAAAAGAGTTTGGTTAGGAAGTTGGCTAGTGCCAAGATGAGTGAATTGAATTCTATTACGAGTCATTGTAGGTCATTGGGTTTCACCAAGGAATACTGAAATTGGCGATGGAGCCTTCAGTATTGAGCACTGCTTTTATGGAAGGGGGTCCTGATCGAAAAATTAGACTCGACCGAAGTCCTGGTGTTGATGAGGTAAGCCAATCAGTATCAATTTGTACATTGTTTTTTGGTGTTCATTGATTTATAATATCGCAGAAAGTTACTTTTAAACTGTACTTTGTACCTCACCTCCTAAGTGTTTTTTCCCGTGGCTCTCTGCCCATCTGTTCTTGTTTGCGCGCTCTCTCTCTCTCTCCAAATTATTGAATTTGTTATGATGTATGTGCCAAATGCAGCTATACATTGAAGGTTATCTGCAAGCCATGTTAGACACAGTATACAAGCAAGCATATCTAAGTGTGAGAGTCCTTGAAACCCAGGTATTTGTGCTTGACATGTCCTCACTGTGGATGGTTTGTTTTGTTTTTGCATTGACAATAGGGATAAGATTTCACGCTTTCTTTGTGAACAGATCATCCTCAAGAACCTGCCTCCAAACAGTTCTCTAATAGATGAAATTGTGGAGCGTGTGAAGGGGTTTCTTGTGAGCAAGGGGTTGTTGAAGGGAGGTTCTTCAAAAGTGTCCCATCCTTTACGTCATATTAGAGGGGAACGTGTAAGTACACTTGTCCAGAACTTAGTTCCAAACATGGGCCATCCTTAGCCTAAAAGGGTCATGTCTGAGGACATGAGCTTGGCCCAACCTTCTCTAAAAGAAGCAGTCAATTGTTTAGACTTGCCGAGATAAAACTACCACTTTTCTTTTTCTAGCAGAAGCTATTCCAGTTTTGGTCTCATGACTATTAGATCATTTTAACCTTTTGTCCTCTACTTCCATTTTCTCGACTTTTGGTGCACGAAATCTGATTTTCTTGCCACTTTCTGTTCTTCCAATCCATTATCTTTCAAAATATCAACTGGAAATTGTTACAGAAGTTTTCAAAAGTCACAATAAATTCGTATTCGTGCACCAAAAGCTTGACAAATGGAAGTCGGTGGACTAAAAAATGAGAATATTTGCTTTTCTAGCATGACCATTCTGACTTGATGGAAGTGTGTTAATACGTATTACCCAGAGTAATAGCTTGGCATGAATGTGGTAACAGGAATGGAGATTAGGACCGACAGTGCTGACACTGTGTGAGCATCTATTTGTGAGTTTCGCGATCCGGATGTTACGGAGACAGGCCAATAAGGTGATGGCTAATGTCAAGTGGAATGGGAAAGAAGGCGAGGGGAAGAAAGCAGCCATTGTGAGTGATTCTGGTAAGGGGAGGAATTTCATATGGAGATGGGGAATAGGAAGCTTTGTGATTTCTGGGATAGTTGCTTACATTGATGGACGCTTATGCCGGCGCATACCAAACCCCATAGCAAGACGGATTGTAAGTGGGTTTCTTCTCAGCTTTCTTGACAAAAATAGTGAAAACCAATGAAACTCCTCTTAGTTGATTTTTATATTATTAGTATTATTATTATTATTATTAGTATTATTATTATTATTATTATTATTATTATTATTATTATTATTATTATTATTATTATTATTATAATGGTCCTTTTGGTTGTCTAAAGTTGACATGTAGGCCCTACTATAGTGTAGATATATATACTCCATGCGGTTCCACTAGAGAAGCCAAATTGTGAATATTTAATTATACTCCATCCGTTCATTAATTTCTTTCCCACTTACCTTTTTTGGTTATTTGAAAATTTCTTTTCCGTTTCCTATTTTTGCAAAAAAAATAATTAACGAATGTACCATTATACCCTTATTTTTCTCTACATTATTCATTTTTTTCCATCATATCAAGGACAAAACATGTAAAGTTTTTATAATTTTTAACTTTTCTTAATCACTGTACCAAGTCAAACTGAGAAAAAAAATTTGGACAGAGGGAGTAATCAGATAATAAGTATTTTGTTTTCAAAGTTTAGATAAGGAAAAACAGTAAATAATACTCCTGTGTTAATTTAAATTATTTTTTTATTTTATGATATTTGATTGAAGTTATTTTCAATTCAATTGATTTGAGAATTGGGAAACAAATTAAAAGTACAATTTATTTATTACCATATTACATCAAAAGGTCTACAAAATATGACGTGAAATGACTATGTAATATTATCAGACGAGTAATAAATCTAATAATAATAGGAACAGAAATTGAATAAAGTTTAACCCTGTAAATAATAATCTTTAAACAGACAATTTAGTTTGAGAATTGAGACGGAGGGAGTAAAAAGAAAAACCGAAACAAGGTAAGGTTAATAAAGCAAAGAGGAAAAAATTATAAAGATATAAAAGCAAATCATTACTTGGAGAATTGAAAAGAAATAGAGAATATTAACAAAAAAAATATGGTTTGGACATTATAAATTTTTTACCTAATTAGTATCACATTCATGCGTTGCATGACTCATTTACATTATGAAATTATATTGGTGTCGTTATTGAAGAATAGAAATTGACTGCATAGTGAAATATAAAATTGTAAAGCATGAATATCAAATGAATTATAAATTTTGAAAAACTTCTTTATAAACTACATTGGTATTCTTGAATCATTGGTTGCAAAAGTATATTTTTTGTTAAACGCAAAACCGTGCAATGTGCCAAAATTAGGAGGAATTAATTGTTGAATTACAATATTTAGTCTGGTTCATTTTAGAATTACTGGTAATATCTGATGAAAATCTCCACTAAAGACGATTGTTTTCTCTCTGAATGTTTGATTTTCACTGATTGGATAAATCAAACAATGTTACGCAAACTTCTATCTAAAGCTTCAAAATATTCATGTGTCATTGGTTGCTTCGTCCAAAATAATTGACTTTGCCTTCACTAAGAGTTTTGCTAGGGGAGTTCTTTGAGTTTAACGAATTTTAAAACATGAATGAGTTGTTCTTCCACGTAGCAAATGTATTGATGTTATTCCATTTGATGTGACATTCAATACTATATCGCCTCTACACCGTAACACAACAGATAAAGTTCTCCATGCATCCATCTTGCCAGCTCCTTTGTACCTTCAAAGGAAGAAAATTTTAGCTGCATTTGTATCAACGGAATGCATTAGAGCATTATACGTTGCACATTGTTCAATTCGTTATTTAACGTACCGAAAAGGTTGATGTGCTCACTTGCCAATGTTACGCGATCGTTATAATGTGTGTGTGTATGTATGTATGTATGTATGTATGTATGTATGTATGTATATATATATATTTTTTGGTTCAGGTGATAATGCAATCTAATGAAAGAAATAAGAATGAATCTAGTGCATTAGATTAGGAGATCTAAGGGTTAGGATTGCATCAAAATTAGGTGCACTAAGATGGTTTGAAAATGCATCATCTCGAGATGCACCATAATACTTTAAAAATGCACTATCTCAAAATTTGAGTGCTGAATGCAATCTGAGCCGCACGATGCATCAGATCCAAAAGATAGATTTCATTCTTATTTCTTTCACCAAGGTGCATTCTCACTTGAACCAGCCCCTATATATATATATATATATATATATATATATATATATATATATATATATATATATATATATATATATATATATATATGCGAACATGCAAGTCCTAAGCCATAAAATTAGAATTGTAGATTCTAGATTCTTGGATGCATTTATTTCTTTTTCTAATACTCATTAATCATCGTATTTATAGCGATACGATTAGCCTAATTATAAATAATCACTGTAGAGAAATCAAGGCCTTCTTTTGCTTTTCATCCCTTTTTAAAATACTTTTATGAATTTTAAATTAAAGTTTACACTCCCTCCATTCATATTTCATTGTCTAGTTCGCTTTTCGAACTTAACATTTGACCAACATCTTTTAAAATATATTAGCAAAAAATATTAAAAACAATAAATTTAAACTATTTTTCGATACTAATACTTTTGAATTATTTCCGTCCTAGAGTATTCGTCCAGTTTAACTTTTTCGAGTCAAACTGGATGAACTTTGAGTCTTAATTAAATAAAAACTATCATGTATATTAGTATAAAAATGATTTTATTATATTTAAATTGTTTAAATCTTTCAAAAATGCATTCCATTGTATTAATACGCAATAAAAATTGAGAGTAATTGATGATTAAAGTTTGTCTAGTTTGACTCAAAAAAATTATACTTGACGAATACTCTCGGACATAGGGAGTATAATTTTTATATTTTAATTCATTAAATATTTAAATATATAATTAGTCAAACCTTTGACAAGTAAAATGAAATGGATAACTATATTTGAAGTAATAAAATTTTATTTATTAGTACTCCACCTATTCTTATTATTAATACTCCGCCTTTTATTTTCAATTCTACACTTTTTTGTAATAATAAAAATAATAATATTATTATTATTGTTATTTTTATTATTATTAATACCCCTTTTCATACTTTCGTCCCATTAAGTGTTTTTAATATATCTTTGAGTTTAAAAAAGTTATATCAAAATTTAACTAAATTATTATTATTATTTAGTAGTAGTAGTAGTAGTGGTAGTGGTGGTGGTGGTGGTAGTAGTAGTAGTAGTATTATTATTATTATTATTATTATTATTATTATTATTATTATTATTATTATTATTATTATTATTATTCAGACCCCACTTTATATTTTCATCCAATTCTCTATTTTTTTTAAATTTAAAAGAATTGGTTGCATATTAATGTTGGAAATTGCGTTGAACTTTGAATTCGGGTTTTTCTCCCAATTTGGGTTTCCACGTTAAAATCCTTGTTTTTATATTTTGATGTATTTTTAAGACTAATTTATCGTTTTTGCCCGACTAAAAACGATATACTTATTGATAATTTACACCATCACATATTTTTATGTGTCTACACATATATTTTGCATATAAAAAATGTCTTATACTTTGAGATGTCAATAGAAAAACAAAATATAAAAATAAAAAATTAGGAAAAATTATATATAACGGGTCAAATTCTCTCAATGTGTAAGCCTAAAAATAGTCATGTGTGATCTTGTTTGATTCGTCTTAACATATAGATTATTAATATATAATTTTTATAATTTTTTAATATATAAATTACAAGATAAAATGGATTAAAGAAGTGCATTGGATGGTAAAAATGAAAGTGGACAAACACCCAAGGACGGATAATAACTGCTTTTAATGGATATAAATATTTTCTCTATAAATAGATGCGGATACGGGCGATAATGGAATTTTCTGTGTTACAGGTGTGTGACCCGCAAAGCTGGTTAACCTGTTCGGGTTTACAAACGTTCTTGCTGCCCGCCTACCCGGACCCTCATTTCACAATTTTCGGGTTTTTCACTGTATCCGCCGGAAGGGTTTTGGATTTTGGTTTCGAAAAGGGGAGAGTGGAAAGTAGGATTTGTCTCTGCTTCCGTTTCGCTGAATCCCATCAATGGCCGACGGTTCAGAAACCGGCTCTCCCGTCAAGCTGGATTGTAAGCCTTCCAATGAGACCATTGTCGAACTATCCGGCCAGGGCGGCACAGAGTCTACCGGCAACAACGCCGCTGCGACCTCGGCCGAGCGCGACGATGAACTGAAGATATCGGACGAGCTGATGGTGAAAGGAGATGAGGCTGCCGCAGGAAAAGATTATTCTGAGGCCACTGATTGCTACAGCCGCGCTCTAGAAATCAGGTTAGGGGCGTTGCTTGATTTCATTTCCTCTCTTCTCGAGATATTTGCTTCGTTTTAACATCTCTGTTATGAATATCTTTGTGAATTGATATACTTTTCAGCACTTGTTGGTTGTCATTTTGGCTGTAGTGATCTTTAAGATCCTTAACTAATCATAACAGCAGAGTTAAACAGTGTTCAGGTGGTCCGATATTAGTTATTCCATCAGAATTGAGGTGATTGTTCAATATGAAGTGTGTTTTTCTTCCCGTCTTGCAACTATCATCCTCCAATTGAAATTATTTTTTTCATGAATAAGTTATTTTAGAGTTTGAAAGAAAAAATGAGCGGAGTTGAGTTTAATCATTAATCAAGGAGGCCTTTTAGAGCACTCTGGATTTATTATTTCTCATTCTGTATGGTTCTCATATCTCACCTAAGTTTGATTGCATGAACTTTTTACTCAGGGCTACCCTATTTGGTGAGCTTGATCCTCGATGTGTGAATGCATACTATAAATATGGATGTGCATTGTTGCGCAAAGCTCAAGAGGAAGCTGACCCTTTGGTCTCTGTGCCTAAAAGGAAGGGAGACTCCCTACAAAATTCTTGTAAAGATGAACCTGCCAAGAGGGTTGTAAGTGCTGAATCTTCTGCTACCTCTGTAGAAAGCTCCAATGGTGAAGGCGAGGCTTCAGTGCATAATGAAAAGGAAATCAATAATGGTTAGTATCTTGACCGTTTTATGAGGTTATACCTATTTGTTTGTATTTATCTTTCTAAACAGATTATGATTCTTTGATAACAGATTGATGATGTGC